TCATTTCTGTGCTCTAGTAAAAGTAATAGAAAAAGAAATTAACTTCCTTGCTTTATACAGAGTTTCGCACGCATGCAAACCAGTCTAAAAGGAGAACCAACCAGTTCTTGTTTGTTTGTGCCTGGGGACTTTTGCCTCAATCGGCTGCTCTTGCTGAACACAGAAAATTCCTTGGCAATAAATGAACAACCAACGGAAGGAGATGCATCCTGGTCTTTGTTCCCAAACAATAACGTATTTATTTTTTACTATTACAAAGAATAATGTCAAAAAGTACCTACCCGGAACCGCCAATTCCTGATGAGGAAAGTTCAGAAGTGCTGTTAACAGTAATTGCTTGCTGACTCTGAGCCATAAGTTGGAAGAGCATTCCAGAAAGCAGAGAACCTCTCTCTTCTGGGAGGAAAAGGATGTCCTCAGCTGATCTGAGTCTTTCTGCAAGAAGTCCTGCTTCAGCCAACATCTGTAAACTCTCACACACAACGCCCGTCGATGAATTTCATTCCAACTGCTTCCATGCAAACATAACCTCACTTTAAATAGTACATAGGTTGCTCTGAAAGCAATCATAGAATCACTCAGGTTGGAAAAAACCTTAAAGATCATCAAGTCCGACCAGTGCCTCCTTATTTCAACACAGTCGGCACCATTAGCAATGCATTTTCATCAGCAGTGAACAAGAGTCTGCATGTCACACTTGTGAAAAACTCCACCAGAGGAGATCAGCCTCTGTCACACTGCTCAAACACAGCACCCACCCCTCACCGTGTTCACATCCACTGTTTGATGTTTGCTGAACGTTTATGGAGACCAATGAATGTCAACGGGTGCCACTTTTTTCCCACATGGAAGGGTTCAGTTCCACACTTTTGCTTTACATGCACTCCTGTGCCAGACACCATTCCATCAGATCACCTACCTGCTGCTGTAAAGCCACATGGCAGCAGCATGTTACAGAATATTGGTGGGAAGGTTCAGCCTCCACTGCCATCCCATCAACCTCTGTCTCTGACATCGTGGGCCAATATCGCAGAATAGGAGGCATTACTTTCAGAGCAGCCTTCAAACAGCGTATAGCAGCTGCACTTTTGCCTTCTAGAAATACCAAAGTCGCTATTGCTATGCTTAAAATACCAAATTTTCTCAATTTCTGCCACCAAAGATTTGGTCTTTTTGTTTACATGCAAAAGCAGACATGATGGTACGTCTGTAATTTTATCCATAGAATGGTTTGGGTTGGAAGGAACATCAAAGATCACCTGGTTCCAAGCATGCCATGTGCAGGGATACCTCCCAGCAGATCAGGCTGCCCAAAGCCCCATCAGACCTGGCCTTGAGCACCTCCAGGAAGGGGACACCCACAGCTCCTTTGGGCAGCTGGGATATTTGCTTTTTGATTGGGTTAAATTGATTGAAGCAAAAATGTAAGCAGCTAAAACGTGTCACATTGATCATCCGAACAGTAATGATAACAGCACCTCGTTTTCAAGCAATTTTCTTTTACAAATGTTGTTTATATAAAGTCGACGTGGGTAACAATTTTAGAACTCTGTTTTTGTCCTCTCAACTAATTCTACTACTTTATACAGGGAGATAAGTAACAGAAGAGGGAAAAAAAAGAATCTATGTAAAATGTCTTTTCTTTTTTTCAGCGCAAAGTAGCTTCAAAACTGAAGCACATTTTGAGTCAGACTGAAAAATGAGAAGAGCTGACAGAGAACTCTGTGCACTCGGGAAAGACTTGGCTTCCATGAAAGAAACCAAAACCAGATCACAGAATTACTATGCCCACAGGCTAGCTGAGAGAGAGATGACCTTAGAAAAAAGATCACATCATGTCTGTACTTTCAGTAATTCCAACTGCAGCTTCTGAAAGACAGCTAGGTTTAAACGTTGTCATTCTCCACAGAGAATGAGATGGTACTCGACAGACATGAGATGGTATTTGAATACCTTTTGTATTGAAGCCTTCAACAGCGCATCTTCTGCAGCCAAGAGAACAGCCTCTCGATCATTACAGCTCTATGGACAATGGTGGGTAGCAAAGACTGGGCAGGAACTGTTGTGTGAAGCTTCGTGCCTTTCCTTCACACACCCCTAGTGCCAGTTTAATTCAATGCAGAAGTCATCCTGCTAACTGACACGACCCAACAGCAGCCGCTCTCCCACATGCCAGCCATGGCACTGAGACAAATTAATCCACAAGCACCCACTTCTGACTTTCGCTGGGTTTTAAATCATGTCACAATCTTTGTCTGGAGTACTGCAAAGCTCATGGTTTCCTCTCCCTAACCACAAAATGCAGGAAGGCTTCTACAGAGCCATCAGCTGCATGAAAGAACTGGTAAAAAGCAAGAAACAAAGCATGCTCTTGCCTTCAGCTAGTTTCTAAACATACAGAATGTCTGCCTACGGGGCCCATTAACTGCAGCAGTTTGCAGTAAATTCACCTCTGATTTCATAACTTCACCCATGCAGAAAGCCTACTTGAAGTCTGCCGTTGTAGCCAAAGAAGCATGCTCAAGGTTTACATGATTTGATTTTGACTGCAGTTGTTCTTCACCCCCCTGCTGAGCTCCATCTGGCACATAAAAATCTTGTTTTTTCACTACATACACAATGGCCACAATGGTGAAAGCAAAACTTCACATCGCTGTATTCCCACCTGTGTTTTCAAGAGCAAAACCAGACTTCCTTTATAGTGACTTTCCCTCCATCATCAATGTATTCCCACCAGAATATGACCAGAAACTGAAACGAGGAGGAAGACTGAATCCTTTACTTCAGAAGAATCAACTCGAGGGATGAAACAGCTTAGAAGCAGGAGAAACTCCCAGCCAGGACTGCAGGGGAAGGAGGCCAGTTGAGTAAGGAGGAAAACAACTGATGAGGGAAGCTTGGATTGATCAGATACTGAAAATAAAAGCTGCGTTAGTGGGAGGTTGCATGTGCAGAGAAATTCTAATGATAGCATTTATTAAATGCTGAGCACCAACATTATGCTGAGACTCAGCTCTTTGTACTCCAGTCTAGGAGTTTTACTCAAGATTTTCTTGTGCACTGAAGCAAAACCATCAGATCCAGTTTTCACCTCCAATTTTTAGAAGGCGCCACTCAATTGTGAGCAGAAGCAAAACGGAACATCTGCTCATGCACTCAGCAATTTCGTCTGTAATTCTGGCAGAAGATGCTACATAAATTCACTGCAAAGTACTTCAGAAGCTTGAGATTCAAGCATAGGATGGAACCAAAGAGGTAAAAGAGGCATTTGCAGGGCCCTGTCATTTCACAGATCTGCTTTCAGATACGTTGCACGTGTGAACTGACAGGTCTTTGTAGGTACATTTATTTCAGAAAAGCTTTTAACCCAGGAAGTTCACCTGCAAGGCACTGAACAATTCCCAAATAAACTACTTGTTTCAGTATGAAACATATTTCTATCATTGACAGGAAACTACTTATAACCTGACTGCATTCCCAATATCAACTGATATTTGACTTTGGGAATAAAAACAGTCCTTCAGAAGATGACTGAAGTTATGAGCACTTTTCTTCCTTCTGATAATAATTTCTGCTTGCATTTACAGAAACATGAATCCATACAAACTCTACTGAATTCAGCAGAGTAGCTCTGGATCCTTACTACGTATTAGCTCCAAAAGTAATGCCTCCTATTTATTTCCAGAGAAAGGACAACAGCTACAAAGAGCACAATAACACTATTTGTTATCAGAGGGCTGGAGCACCTCTCGCAAGAGGAAAGGTTGAGGGAACTGGGATTGCTTAGGCTGGAAAAGAGAAGGCTCTGGGGAGACCTCATTGTGGCCTTCAGTACTTGAAGGGAGCGGATAAACAGGAGGGGGAATGGCTGTTTGTGAGGGTGGGTGGTGATAGGACAAGGGGGAATGGTTTTAAACTGAGACAGGGGAGGTTTAGGTTGGATATTAAGAGGAAGTTTTTCACCCAGAGGGTGGTGAGGCACTGGAACAGGTTGCCAAGGAGGCTGTGGATGCCCCATCCCTGCAGGCTGGATGTGGCTCTGGGCAGCCTGGGCTGCTGGTTGGTGACCCTGCACACAGCAGGGGGTTGGAACTGGATGAGCATTGTGCTCCTTTTCAACCCAGGCCATTCTATGATTCGAGCAAATTCTCAGTTCCAGTAAACTATTTTCCAACATGGTCACCATGAACACCACTGCATTTTCACCAGCAGTGAATGAGAGCCTCCACCAGCAAAGGTGATCCACTGTTTCACAGCTGCTGTGATGGCATCACTGCTTGGAAAACGCTGCCCACGCAGTCCATCTTTCATCGGCTCAAAGCGTCGATGAATGTCAATGGGTGTCATTTTTTCCACACGAAGGAATTAAATTCCACACCTTTGCTTCATGCACACCTCCAGGCCATTCTGTCAGGCTGCCCTTCTGCTGCCATCTGTCACACAACAACAAAACATAATGGAATATTGGTGGAAGGTTCAACCTCTACTGCCACCCCACCAACATCTGCATCTGATGTCGTGGGCCAACATCATAAAATAGGAGGCATTGCTTTCAGAGCAGTCCTCACAGAAAGGAAAAGAATGTTACTCAATCCAAATAATAAGATATGCCCAAGTTTTCCTTATGAAACACTACCTGTATAAATACTATTCCTCACTGATAGGTAATTTTTATTGCTGGAATTGAAAAGTGCTCTGTGGATACGTCTAGGAAGTAAAACAAAAAAACTGGAAAAGTGCCCAAGTTTCCAATCATACGCATTTTAAATCAAAATCAAAAGTGAAAATGTTTGCTAAAGATTGGCCAAGTCATTAAAACAAAGCAGTGGGAGCTGGGTAGCAATTCCTTTCTCGGTACTCTGGTTCTCTTCATCTAGAAGCTGAGAGTTAAAAATTTTATCTCCCAATAGAAATAAGATGAGTCTTCCTTTGCTGAAACCAAGGAGAGAAATTTGGGAAATGTTAAATAACTTTTTCAGGATCACACTGTTGGGTTTTTTTTGTTTGTTTTTTGTTTTTTTTTTCCCCCCCAAGAGCATTTTAAACACGTCTGAACACTGAAATCCAATGGTCTTATTTTCCTCTTCCTAGCAGCATGCTTTTGTTCTGCAGAAACCAACGCAATACTCCATCAGAAGTGGGAAGTTGAGTCCTTACATTGGTCCACCATTACCCAGGAAATCTGTGAAATCAAAGGTTTTTACAGAGAAAAGAAGAAAACGCATCTGTGTCTTCTCAGTGCATCACATCTGAACCAGTTCTGGGCTACGAAAACCCAAGTTCCAAAAAGATGAAAGCCCCAAAAATCAAAGTTTGGAAATCACTCAAAAAACAAGTTCTTACCACAAGCAAATGATTCACCTGAGCGTTCTTGAGGTGTCATTCCTTGACATGCTAATAACTAAACAGAATGAATAAATCGGCACCACACTCATTCAAGACTGAGTATTGATTCCTGAAATGTACTGTCAGCAAGAAACACCTGATCTGGAGACATCACCACATCCATCTGACAGCAACCCTAGAGGAGGCAAACAAACAAAACAACACCGATGGCAGTTAAACACCATTACTAAGAAACAGACTTGTCCTTTACAACAAATAACAGATGCATTATTTACTGTGTTGCATTTAAGTAAGCAAGGCTCTGTTTCCCAACACAACAATCGAGGTTATGAAGAGACAGCAAGAGGAAGTCAGCCACCAGCTTTACCATCAAAGCACCAGGCGGTTATCCCTCAAACCAAAAGAGAACTAGTGAAAATGGGCACTGCAGCTAGCTATCAACTGAAATACCTCTGCACAGACAGAACAAGCATGCTCCAGATCAAGCCATCAGGCCTCACTTGGGCTGTTCCAACTTTCAGTGGAAGCAGAAGCTACTCTGCCTCTCACAATTTTGCCACTGTTCTCTCAAATTCTGCCATTATATCACACACGTAAGACTGGAGGACTCATACCTTCTCCCTGAAAGGTCTCTTTTGCCCCATTGCAGGAGTTATTTGGGAATGGATTGCCATCTCTCTATACATTTGAGCACTCTCTTCCCACCCTTGATCGACATCAAACTTCTCTCAGTCTCTAATGCAATGGAAATGCAAACAAAGCCAGGCTCTATCAGCTACACATCCTTCCTCATCAACCGTTGTCGAGAATTCCTTCTCCTTGGGGATTCTTGTACATTTCAGGCATGTGAGGCTGCTCCTTTTCTTGCTCATCAATACGCATGAAGACAAAACTCCCTAAACCACAGTTAGAGGACACACAACAGCACAACTGCCTTTAGGAACAGAAAACAAGCTACCATGGGGTGCCTGCAAGATTATTTGTATTGCTTTGTGGGTAATAATCCTGGAGATATGGGTACACCATTGGGAATCCTATTCTTTACCATAGCATTTTGATCTGCAAAATATTCCCCCCCCATCACAGCTTACATTCCTGCCTTTGCAATCCAGCCCCCCCTCTTTTACGCCCTCTTCATCTTGCCACACCTCACTTACCACTTCCTACCATATATATTCCCACAGTCTCACTTCTGCTTATCTGGTCCTGGCCAACCTCACATTTTCCTAACCCACAGTCCCAACATCCCAAGCACACTGATCCCTCCCTCAGCTTCCCCCTAGAAGCTGTGGCTTCATCACAGCTCCGGCTGCTGCAGACTCTAGTCCAAGTGCAGAAGCTCCTTTAACACTAAACAACTACAATTTTTCAACCTGTAAATCGATGTTTTCCCTTGTAATTACTCTCAGGTGCCTTCTCAGCCACTCTCCTTCATGAAAAGGCATAGCACTGTGGTTTGCAATAACATTTGGTGCAGGACACAGATACTGTACAAAACCTTAATACCCCTTAACTCATTAATCCACACCCAGATTACTCATAGCACACTGTTCAAAAATTGCATCTTGTAGTTATTTATAATCACTGTGGGCCAGATAAAACTTCCTTTGCCAGTCTTTTGGATTGAGATTCAGTCTCATATTCAAAGCTAAAAGAATAATAAATAAATAACCTGGTTCTCAGAAAGTCTGACCTCACTTTCTAGAAATGACCTGCCATTCCCTGCATTACTGTTGTTGAAAGTAAGCTAACTAGGATTTGTAACTTTGATATCTTGAATGCAATCAGCAGCCACACTGCTTTGCACATACCCTCAGCAGAGCAATTGTGAGAAAACATATGAAGGGAAAACGCTCATTTAGCTCAGCTGTGGGTTAAACAAAATTGGAGTGAGCCTCATTTTCTTGTATGGTTCTATTTTTAAAGGTGAATATTATGAGAAATTTGACTATGAACCACCTTCTTACTAGAATATGAGGCCACCAGATACATCCATAGTCAGGTGTCCCAATTAAAAACAAACAAAAAACAATTGCTTACTCTCTATCACACAATCAGATCTCAATTCTGGACCTCATATCAACAAGATTAGCCAAACTCCAATTACAAAGCCTTTGCTGATTTCAATTGCAAATGGAAAGACAAAACCAAGTTGTCCACAAAAAAATATGTGTTTGTATACTAACAACTATAAACTGATGCAGCCAACTGCTTGGAATAGCAATAAAATGTACATTGCTTAAACTCTTCTGGAAAACTTGAGTAATGTTGGATTCCTTGTGCAAAAAGGATCATGACATAAACTTATTCTGCACAAATGTGGAGACAAAACTTTATGTAGAGCCATGAGGTCATTCTCTAATTTAGCAAGCAAACCACATTTTCTGTTCCAAAAGAGTTCAGCCAAGGAAGTGAACTGAAGTTACCAGTATTTAAAGATGGAAACCAGAAGCAGTTCTCCTGACTGTGAAAGTGAAATTTTTATTAGCAATAAGGGCACCTGGAACAGCTCAGATGATCATCTCTATCTATCTATCTCAATAGATATACTTTAAGACTGAGTACTTCTGGGAAGCTCCATCTGAAAGAGCATGTATGAACATAGTAAAAAACATTACTAAGGGAGAGAGAGCATGGGATTGTGCTTTAGAGGAAAGAATGTGACCAATTCCTTTCACTTTACCCTAAATATTCAACCCAAAGCAAAACTAGTCAATCATGCCATTTGCTTTCCATTCCAGTCACACAGTAAGACTTCATACACTTGCAACACTGCTCCCTTGCTTTAAAAAGTCTAATCATACATTTGTTTTATAAAGCATTGGGCACGTTAATTAATTAACACCAAACAGCAAGAAGCTGAAAATACTGGTGCAAATCCAAAGCTTTCTGTGAAGTTTGCTCTCACCAATAAACTTGATTTAAAGCTTCTGAATGCAATTACTAGTCAAGATTACACAATAACTTCCAGAATTCTTAAGAAAGGAATTTATCTTTCAGGATTACTGGAGACAAAACATGACGTCTGTTTTATCATTTTTAGACAAGGAAAGATCATAACACGACGTTCAAACAAATCATACCATACAGAACAAATTGCTTTTGCTCTTAAACTGTTCTCCACAAAGTTTTTTTGCTAACCTCCAAAAACCTTGGAAAAGTAGAGGTAATTGTAACTTGCAAATATCTTAAGGCATTTTCTAGGTTTTCGAGTAATAAAATGTGCTTTTCCAAGTTTATAATGACTCTGTAATGTACCCTGTAGCTACAGACACTGAACTGAAGATAAACTGGATTTTTTAACTACACTGTTGAGGTATCTCAAGTTTAAGGCATTAGTGATTTGTACTTGTTATGCTTCACATGTCTGAAAATAAGCATATTTGTATGCTTCCATTGAACAAGGCCATCCATAAGCTAATTCCTTGCCCTGGCATCCTCAGATAACACTACATTTCTGATTTGCTTAACTGAAATGGCAGATGAACTCTGTACACATCTATGGTTCTCCTAGTTGTCCAGTCTGCATCTCTTTATCTCCATAGGTAGGAAAGCTCATGCATCTGCTTAGAAGTAGCTGCAAAACGTGCAAAGTGAAAAGCCATGAGTTTGTACATTGAAGTAAGTGGACTGCTTGCTCATAGAGGTATGTGACTACTAAAATTAGAAAAAAGATCTCCTCGTGTGAGGATTTATTTTTGAACAAATTAACTTGTTTCCAATCCCTGCCCCCATCCCTTCCTCAGGGCCAACAAGTCAGTGGTCCACAGTTGAGGCAGTAGTATTTAGAAGTGAAGCTGCTCTGCAATGTCCATGTTTGTTTTGGTCCCTCTGCTGAGAAGCACTGCTTAATCTGAAGAGTGTTGAGTAGGCCAGGTTCAGAAGCTGATCAGTTCTGGTTCCTTCTGACACTCTGGACACCAAGTTCTGGAAACAAAGACATCATTAATCAAATAATGCCAAATAAGTGACTGCTCCTATTTTGCTGAAGACTTGGGGAGCTGAACAGGCTTTTGTCTACACACTGCTGTTATCCAGTTCCATTTGCTTTTTTTTTTTTTAATTCTACTTTACAGAGAACAGGGAACAACCTTTCTTTGGAGATATGAGAAAAACCTTACAGGCTTTTTCTTTTGTTTGGCCATCGATGATTGTCATACTCTTAAGAGAGTCAGAATAACATGTCCTACACATGTAATTCAAATCTCCATGACTGTTTACAAGCTATCCTTACCACGTGAGAATGGTGAGGTTTCTCTTCCAGTGAAGCTCGCAGATCCAAGCTGCTGACTGTGGGGTCACTGGAAGGAATAGTATTTTCCCAGCCAACCAGGCAATGCTGTGAGAACATAGAAGAATGCAGTATGGCAGTGTTTTCTAAGTAAAAACAACTCCATGGGGAGGCATTGGCAGGTTAATTAATTTCTTGAGGAGTTTCATATGAAAAGAGAAGGTTTTTATAATAAAGCAAAACTTCACAGCTGTCTCCCCTTCCACCTTTCTCTGGCTAATTATTTCTAAACTAATCTCCCGCTTTGTGAACTCAAACACCTGACCTCCTTCAACTTGTCTCAGCTGACTCATCCTGTTCACCAAACCTCAAACCAGGCTTCTTCCTACCTCTTCACTACAGGGCAAGGCTACTATACCACTTGCAGCATTCTCTAGCAGCTGGTATACAGGACCAGCTCTGCAAAAGTTTCAAATCCCATCTTGCCACTACAGATTTGGCCTGATCCCTACACAGTGTGGATTCTTAATAGAAACCTGTCTGTTAAACTCTCTGATAAGATATTAGAGAACACTCTCAGGTATGGTAGTTCTGCTTGAAAGGCTGATGCTTGAAACAGATCAGCTGAATTATGTCCCAGCAGTACACAGCTTCACATGGCACTTTCTCTTCCTCAGCAGAATGCATCTGAAGATAAGTTATTTATTTTATGCCAGTTATAGGAAGGCTTGAACTCAGAAGCATGCACAAACAGCTTTTCTTGCTGTGTCAGTGATCCAGATCAGAACCTCACCCACCACCACACACAGTCCAGAGATCATACACCTCAGAAATTTCAGTGAAAACTATGCTGAGGGTCCTATATTCCCCTTCTTTCTTGTACTGTAACAATGTCCAATCTGCGTTGTGCAATCAGTATCTGAAAGAAGACATCAACTTACCAAAGGTAATGCTAGGCTGTCTGCTGGTTCAAAGCTTTTCCTGCAGTGAGCTTTGTATTTGTACGCAGGCATAAGAGTAGACCTGGGAATGCTGACCCTGCAACAAAGAGAGTAATTGCACACATGCTCCACAAGGCAAAGTAAATTTACATACCTTATCCAATTCAAGGACCTAGTCCCAAAAATGAACAAAGGCAAGCAGCTCATAAGACACTTAAAAAAGTACATTCTGATTCTGGACCAAATTCAAATATAATTTCTCACCACCTTCAAAACTATTTCTGCTTATGGAAAAGATTAGTAGGGAGATTTTAAGCAGGAGATTTCTCTCAGCCTTGAGAGCAATCATCTGTGGAACCATCTGAACTCTTTTCTACCCACTGCCTCCTGAGTTCTGCACATGGCAAAGTAACAATAGTCATCTACCTGACATAGGCTGGCTCTTCCAGTGTCTCTGGGGGCTGGTGGGTACGTGGGACCTTACATACAGGACAGGCAGAATCTGAATCCGTAGGGACAGGAAAGAGGCGCTGGTTTAATCGGTAACAGTAAACACCTGCCACAGAATAATGAAACATGACAGTATTTCTAGCGTGTCAGAAGGTACAACATTGGCAATATATAGCTGTCTTCTATCTCTGTGCAATACGTGCCTTCTATAGAAACAGTGCTGCTTTCCCTAAAATCTCTTTTACATTTCCTGCCCCAAATAAGTTCCTAAAAAGCAAAACCAAAACTCAACTCCATCAACTAAAAAAGAGAACTGCAGCAAGTTACAAAAAATCCTGACACTGATTTAAAGACAGTGCCTAGAAGACCCGATTCTCTTTGGAGGAGGAAGTTCAGTATGGATTAGAAATTGCAGCTAAAAATAACACATCCTTCCTCCTCTTAAATGATGCGAGGGCTCACTCAGGCTAACAGGTAAAGAATTCTCAGTTGTTTGTTCACAGAAACAGGGTTAGGAAAAAACACTTATGAGAAATCTGATCTTACATTTATGGGAACTGGCTATCAAATCTTGTTCAGGAATTATATATTCCAGAGGCTCGGTCCTAAAGAAACACACAAACAAAGCAGTTAGTGACAGGACTGCCTGCCCTCCAAATCTACCTCTTCCAAGCATACATTTCTGAATGGGACACAAAGGCCTCCAGAGCCACCCCTTCCCACTACTTAGAATTTCAAAGGGATTCATGCTGCTTCTGCCCTTCCCCCTGTACCAACTTACTCCATGTGCTGCTCAGAGATACATGCTTCTTTGTTGGCCTGTCGAAACTCATGGAGCTCAGCAAAATATTGATCAGACTTTTCTGCTACTGAAGAGTTTGTATCTAGAAGGCCTGAGAATGTCAAGGAAAGAGAAAAGACCAAGGTTTTAGTGAATTTGAGGAAGCAACCGAAGAAGGACTCAATTCAAAATGATCAAGACAGCTAAAAGTGAGAAGGATCAAAGAGGATAAGGAGGAGACACCATAACGTCAAGTCAGAGATTTCTGCTGTGACCTTGGTTCTTCAGTGCATTCATTCATTTTTGGTTGCCTGCTACCCCTCTAACTTTTGCCATTTGCTGCTTGGATTCTCACACAGTTTCCACTTCACTATTTCAGTGAAGCACAGTTCACGTTTGTCATGGGTGAGGAATGGCTGCTGACAAAACTACAGCTCCTCTGCTGATCCCTGCTTTGCGGACTCTAGGCCTGCAATTCTGTCACACTACAATACTAATGGAGTGTAAACTATGTTTTAACTCTTGATATTACCACGTCATGCTGAGAGCTTTGCTTCAGGTTTAAGATTCACCTGCAATCCAGTCGTAGCCCAGGAACGGACGCACGGACCAGCTACTCACAGGCACAGTATATTCTTCAGGTTCAGCTTGAAAAGTCACACGACCAGCTTCCTTCTGGGAAAAAAAAAAACACAAAAAAGCCCAAACCATGAAGACCTCCTATACATCTGGCATGAGATTCATAACTGCAGCTAGACAGATAACTAGCAGTTGTTTAAATAGGACAGCACCAGGTTAGTTTGATGTTGAAATTTGTCTACAGCTCTAACAGCAATTTGCTAACCAGCCCTCTGCCTTCTCAATTCACAGAATTGATGTTTTACATGTAGCATTCTCTTGAATCCTCCCCCATCGTTCTACTGACTTCTGAAAACAAGCAAGGCTTTGGTTTCACCACATACCTTCAGTTCTTTGGACTGAGGTGTCAGCAGGATTGATTTAGGTGTTGTGGCTTCCTTGGAGGTCTCTTCACTTTTTACTTTATTTGCTGATGGGTCCAAATGACCCCTAGGCTCATTCTTCTCACTGGAACCATGTGGAAGAATGGTCTGTCTTCTGTTCTTTCCATGTCCTAGAAGGAAGAAGTCTTCCTCTGCACTTCCTTGAGCATGGCTATCCTCAACCACTCTGCAAGTTTCTCTATCACATGTAATGATTGCAGACGCAGGTATGAGATTTTTCTCTTTACCAGGAAAGCTGGATTGCAAAACTGATTCCTGCATCTTCGTTTGTTGCTGCACCCCTCTGCCATTGCTGCTGTGTTTGAGTGATGAACAAAGGGCTGCTCTGGCTGTGCAAGCTCTGGGTTCCACAGACACCAACGTTGCAGGATCGTGCTGTGTCAACACACGATCAACTTGATTTTCCTTCTGTAAGAATAAAGACACTTCTGTCACGTTGCACCACTGAGAGTACAAACATCTTTTATTAGGCCAATTTACTCAGCAAGAGAAGCATCAGCCTCTCAGCCTGGTTTGCTCACCCCTTAAATTTTTGTTGGGAAAAACATAAAATCCTAATGTTATCCATGAGATCACTATTAAGTGTTTGGAGAAGATAAGAAAGGGATTCATTTATAACTAAATGCAGCTCAATCTCAAGCCGAGAAATTGCCAAAGTTTCAGCCTTTGTGCTTAGAAGAAACAAAAGGATTTTGTTCCATGATAATCCTTCCTATCTTGTGTTAAAAATCCCACATTCGTCAGGCAGCAGCTGATCTCTGAACTCTCTGCATTGATAACATATCTGAGACAAGAAGTCAAACAACAAAGGTCTAGCTACTGTTCTGATGGGATCTGTATTTCATTTTCCACCAGCTGCTTCACATTCTTGTGTCTCCATCATGCTGCCCTACAGGCAGAGCTACTGCCTACCTACCATACGAGGCCCATTTAATTCTCAGCACTTTTAGCACAGACCTAACACATACCCCTCTCTTGGGCAGGGGGACAGATGCTTCAACAGTTGCTCTATTACAAAGAGATGCTGGAAGAAGTGGCTTGCTGGGAAGACTTTTTCTTATCTCTTCCTGCTTCATTCTGAGCCTTTGTAGAAGGTCCTGGTTGGCCTGACGCAACCTGAGGTGCTCTGACTCCATCCTATGGACGTGTTCTCCTATAAAGCCAGAGGAAGGGTGAATTGCATGAATGAAAGTATTAACTAAAGAAGCAGACTCGGGAAAACAAAACAAAACAACAACATAACACTTTCAGATGACTTTTCATAAAAGCCACAGGCTTTGTTGGGAGTTTTGATCTTTGAATGTTATCCCTGAGAAATCAGCCAGCCTCAAAACTCTTTATGCTAAGAACCACCACCGCTGCCTGCATCTCTGACCCCCACATGTACTCAAATATTTTCTACCCAGAGACTGGCATATGATTTAAATAGAGGCAGGAAACTCTGACATAGAAAACAGTAAACATGAAATGTCACATCAGAAAACCAGATGAGAGATGTTTCATTCAGATATCTAGAGCAATCATACATGAATCCACTTTAAACTTATTTTCAGAATTCATAGTGTGGTAATACCTAGACACTCACTCAACACACAAACAGTGAGTATTTCTTTTTTAGTACAGCCAAAACAAAGTCTAAAGCATCCTCCACGCTCCCCAGGCAGGAAGACTTCAAAATGCTCTGTCTTTGGCAAAAGCTGTTAGTCAGGGGCTCCTGTAAAACTGTGTTTCCCTATGACCTATGTTCCTAAACTCTGCTTCCCTATGACCTTTTGTTCTAAAGGGTCCCTAAACCTTTTCCTAAAGTTCATCTGATTTGTTTTTGTTACCTTGGCAACATTAGGAACCAAACATACACACTGTACAACAGTGGGGGGGGGGAAAGGAGTGTTAATAACTGAAAAACCCACAGCACGTCTTCCAGTTACAAGGAGGGCGCACAACTGGATGCAATACAGAAATATCAGTCTTGGGACACTACGTTTCTTTGAGATGATTTAAGCAAAACAGAAGTTCTCACGGTATTCGTAGGACAGAGCTACCAGCATCCCCTCACTGTTGCTCATTAGAAAGCCCGTACTCAGAAATTAACATTAGTCAGAGGACTTTCTGGAAGGGTTTTTACCAGATGAGACCCATTCTTCGCACAACCAACAAGAAGCTGCCGAGCACGAACCTAAGGTTCGTGAAAGCGTCGTAGTTAGAACACTTTGCGAAAGGGAGCTACGCCTGGGGAACGAAGTAACCGCATCTCCAGCCAACAGCTCGGCAGCGCTGCCCAGGCCCGGTTCCGGGCAGCACAAACGACGGGCGTTGTTGCTACTTTCCCTTCCCTCTTAAGAGGCGAGCCCGGTACACTCGACAACCCCCTCAGCCCCGTGCAGGGCACTGCGTGGGAGCAGCGAGCCCTGAGCCCTCCCCGTGTCACGCCGCCTGGCCCACCTGCGCCGCACAGCCGGGGATCCCCGCCCTCGCTCCGGGCTTCCCCCGGGCAGCCCCGCACCTCCGCCGCTCCCGCAGCGCAGCGGCCGGGCATGCGCGGGGACAGCGGCTCCGCCTCCCGGCGGGGAAGGACAGGGGAGGACAGGGCTGCTGCTCTGCTGGGCGCAACCGGCGGCCCCAAGCGGCAAGGAAGGGAGAAGGCAGGTAATTGTGAGAACCTGTTGCTGGAAACGTCCTTTTCCGTAACGGAGAATGCTGATTCACCGCCGCCAGTCTATTAACGCAGTATTTGCTGAACATTACTTCTTCGAATATTCTCGAGAAATCAGAGCCGGGCTTGACTTTTTGGTGTATCTTAAGAATCTCAAAACCTCAGATCATTCGGCACCGTTGCTCTCTTTTCACTGTGAAAACACAGATTAAAGGTCACTATCACGTATGCAGTTTCCCACAGCAGTAGCAAGTCACGTCTGGAGGACTCAGCTGGAGCACTGCGTCCACGTGTGGGTCCTCAGTACAGCAGAGATGGAGAGGAGGAAATGCTCCCAGGGCTGGAACGTGAGGGCTGGGGCTGTGTAGCACGGAGGAGAGAAGGCTGCAGGGAGAGCTGAGAGCAGCCTGTGTGTCTAAAGGGCTGTAAGAAAAAGGGACAGACTGCAGCAGGGTGTGTGGTGATGGGACAGGGAAACGGATTCCTGCTAACAGAGGGGAGACTCAGGTTGGATGTAAGGAAGAAGGGAGGTGAGGCACTGCACAGCCTGCACAGAGAGGTGGTGCAGACACCCAAGGTCAGGGAATGGGGCTCTGAGCACTGATGGAGCTGTGGGTCTCCCAGCTCAGTGCAGGGGTTGGACCTGATGGCCTTTAGGGTCCCTTCCAACTCCAACCATTCTGTGACCCGAATGCATCATACTTACACTTGCAGACTTTGAATCAAGATATGCAGAACACAGCAAGAGAAGTACTTTTTACAATTCATTTTTATTTTGGTTTCCACTGCTTTTACAGCACTGATACAGGAATAATTCATGCAAATTTATCACCTTAAATACAGCAAAGAGAAAACTCACTGGTAAGAGTATTTCGAAGAGCTCCATCAACACAACACAATGAAGGTACATAGCAGCAGTAAGATAAAGTGCACTGAGCTGTTGCCCTTAAATAAGAGCTTGGGGAAGACTGCTTTTAGAATTACCTAAATTCCAAGAATTAGTTTATTTTTTCTAAAGAAAAGCAGAAGATAACCTCCTTGCTAATAGTGTTCATTCCTCCACCAAGCTGAATTAAAGAAGTACTGTGTTTGAAGGTCTCTCTGTTATAAGTGATTCGTGATTACCCAGCTGCTAGTGACAGGGTTACAGATGTACCTGAACAACAATGAACTCCCATGTTAGCAGTTTTACTTCTTAAAAAATTCAGGCAGTTCTTTCCTCCGTTCTATCTGTTAGCACTACAGTGAGAGCACCTCCATCACCAAGATCTGAGCAGTGCCACAAACACACACTGCCAAGACGCTGCATTCTGAGAACACCTCGATCTCTTTGCCTTCACAAATCTGACCCCAGCTCTGAAGATCAGCTCACTGATCAGATTTCCTCTAAGGCCTGCTGAGATCTAGCAGCACGTCTCCAAGGGCGAGATCAGTACTTCAGGTAGCCAAGAGCTGCTGACTAATACATCTTCTCCTTCTGCCTAGAACTGGCAGCTTCCTGTTCTATGAGGGATCTGTTTAATGTTTTAACTCAGCACTGTACACTGCTTGTTATAAATGTGTATGAAATAGCATGGGAGACAAAGAGCTCTGCTGTAGGTATTGTGTGAACTCAGAGTAATAGCCCACAATGCCACTTGCTCCAGCATACTTCACCACAAGCCCAGAGAACACAACACCAAAGGCAAGGACTCACATTTCTCTCTCAGCCATTCTCATTTCTGATCCAAACCACATTTGTGTACTGGTGGCTCCCTGAGGAAATTGAACACAGCCAATGAAGCGCTCTCTGATGAAAATAGCTTCTTGGTTTGGGCTGAATTCAAAGCTGTCCACTGAAAGTGAAAGCTGCGTTTGCTTCTTGCCTTTCAGGGTCACAATGAGAGTCTACCAGCTCCAACGTAACCAAGATAATTCAAGTCTTATTGCAAATCTTAACACAGCCTGAAGTACTTACTGCCACTTCACTATTCTTTCCTTGAGGATCAAGCAGCTTCTTTCTGGGCCCTCACATGAAGCAGAGAACATGTCACAGGCACATATATTCATACCTGAGCATGAATGAGGAATCCTAAGGCTAGCTGATCTCATTTTAAAGTGAAAAATCTCACTGTTGTATAATAGAACAAAAAAAGAAGCACCTTAGTACTCCCAAATTCAGCTGTCACTTGCTCACAGATAATTCATATTCTCCAATGTTTGATTCTGAACAGATTTAGGTTGACCCTAACTCCAGAAATGCAGGATTAATTCTGGATTACAGAGAGACATTTTGTGGGCTACATAAAGATCATTCCCAATATGTGGTAAAGTACAAAAAAAAAGTTTTACAGCACAGGAACCTGATCCTGATATTACTGAAAAAAGTGGGAATTCTTCTGCTATCAACTCCAAAAAGAAGAGGCTCCAGTCCTTACAATGCCCAAGTCTCATAATCAAAATTAAGAATTGTTTCAGGGCAAAACTCAATTAATTTCATTTATTTGCAAGTAAAAGACATCTGGAAAAAGAAAAAATGACTTAATCCATTCTTACCCCAGCATTAAATAGGAAGGATAAGTCTCTATCATTATCCTCACACTTTTAACAGAATAGAAACAAATCTCATTACTGCATGGACTTGTATCATCCCATGGGAACTCTACGTGAAGTGAAATCTCTTACAGCGTGTGATCCCTGTGCTGTCCTCATGGCCAGCTAATGGTAATGGAATTCCAAAGGCCTGCTTCCAGAAACACTGCTGTGCAATTACCAAACCCCACATTCATCAGCCTGTCTCACAAGGCAACTTGTCAACTGATTCATCTTTTCATTCCCAATTTCCTTCTTCAACAAACTGTCAATTATCATCACCAGCTCCTTCATAGCAGCTTGCTATCTTTGCAAATTAGCTGCCTACAATGTGAAATGAGGCAGATTGCATTACTGAAGAGCTCTGAAGAGGAAGAAATTAACTCAGAAGACAATAAAGGTACCAAAGCAAAATCTTAGTCCCTTTTGCTCTAGAAGAGAACTAAGTTTTGTTCACAGGTTTAAACATGCTGACAAAAATAAACCTGTCCATGAAAATAAATAGTGCAGCAGATCACTGCCATGTTTTACAATAACAGAAGGTGAAACAAGGAGATAGGTTTGCACAGGCTACGAAAGTACTGTGATACTGTTCTAACTGTGTGCTTAAGATTGCTGTTTAGAAAAACAGCTGCTTGTCACATACATAAACTTGGGGCTTTGAAGCCAAAAGCTCTGTCTTCATGTAGTAAGATGAACGACTCCATAAGGAACAATGTGTTAGAGGAACTTTTAAACTGATAAACACTTGTTTATAGAACTCACTGCTAGTGTACTTCATTTTGATTTTAGAAGCCCCCTGTAAACGTACAAAGCACACATTCCTTCCAATGTAACCTGTTCTCCTAAGCTGGAAAAGAAGAGCTACAACAGCTAGTGTTGAAAGGTGGGACACAAAACAAGGATGCTGAATCCTACTGTTCACACAGCAACTGGAAACTGGCAGGAGCCTTTTGCTCATTCCCTTTAGGGATTCCATCACCCACCATATTCTCTGCAGTAACTGAAGGAGCACTGAAGGGAAACAGCGTTGTTTTTCTCCTCTTCCCACACTATCTGCTTTGCTGCAGGTACTGATGTGTGAACATGTTAAGTTCACTATCGAGCCAACCCGCCTTATTCCTGGAAAGACAAGAAGTCTCTGTTAGGTGAATAAAATCATTCTTCCCAAGGCAACCTGAAAGAAGCATGAATAAGATTATTCCAAGTGGAGAGGAATGCCAAGAAGGTCCCTTCCAGACTGCTGCTACTATTCCTTGTATGCTTCAGGTCAGGAATACCATCCTGCCAACAATCCCCAACTTCAAGGTTCATAGTGAGATCTTGGTCACAACTTTAAACTGGTCTTATTATTTGTGTGGGTAAGGTATGTTAAAAAAAATTATTCCCAACAGCTTTTTGCAGGGTGAAGACAAACATCAGACTCAAATCTGTGCAATGGCAAGGGTGAGACTAGCCTGGAAAAGTTTGCAGGAGTAGAGGACTGTATGTTTTGGTAAACAGAACTGTAATTTTGTACCAACTAAAAGTAAGAAGGAAATGGGTTTTTTATGGGACAAAAGATTTAAATGACTGTTCAGAGTACATGGGCTGAGCATCTCTTCTTCTTCTAACAGCTTAAAATAACAAAAAACACTGCTCACCAACACCTCAATATCCTTTCTCACCCAATAATCTAAGTGACTTTTCTTTCTACTTGAGGCTGCAGAATATTGTTTTGATATCTCCACCAGACATTTTAATACATTGCAGCAAATTGTTTTTCACGTAACATTACAAAAGGAACACAATACGGAAAGATGTTGATGTCTGCAAACCGAACACTATGATGAAAGAAGGGCTGTGCTCAAAGATGCATCCTCATCTCAGCATCTTGGGGCATCCACAGGAAAACCAATTACATGCAGATGTTTGTGTAATAAGAAGATCTCACCTCAGCAATTTTGCTTTGCTCTGCAGTGAATCCAGAACTTCTATTTTCTTATTCATGGCAGAAATTTCCTGCTCAAGATTCTCCCGGGTAACATCCACTTGCTGACATAACTGAGCGAATGTTCCAGCAAGCTCTCTGTGAAACGGGAAGAAGAGTATAAAGTAAGAATGAAACACAGAATTAAAGGAATAAATGCCTTCAATGAGTGGCAATGACACTAACTCAGATGCAAACATCTTTCCTCTTCTGCACAAAAACACATTAGAACAGTCAGAGAAATCTGAGACTGAAGTACTAAGACTAGAGCTTTAGAAATACCCACATACGACATCATGTTATTAAGAAAATCAACAAAGTAACCCACAATATTCTTTTAAAACACATGTATTATTATATTTTTTAGTCCTGAGTTCAGTGAGCAGATACCTTGCTTTAACAAAGCAAAAAACAGTAATGGAAAAAAAAACAGGAGAATTC